TGAGTACAGGGGCACAATCACCTCCCTACTTCTGCTGGTCACACTATTTTTGATACAAGCCAGGATGCCATTGGCTTTCTTGGCCACCTGGGCACACGGCCGGCTCATATTCAGCCGTTTGTCAACTAAAACCCCCAGGAATAATAATAAATAGGAATAATAATAATAATAATAAATAATATAATAATAGTAATAATAGAATAAATAATAAATAATAGAATAATATTAGAATATTAGAATAATAGAATAATAGAAATAGAATAATAGAATAATAAATAATAATAGAATAAATAATAGAATAATAATAAATAGGAAAAAAAATACATATTTTATTGATGACGTGCAGAAAAGCAGGGCTAGCCAAAATTTCAGTTTAAACAGGAAATTCTCCGTCTGGTCTAGGTATGCAGAAATGTCCCATGATGTGAAGTCACAAGCTGGCAGGCAGCGCTGAATATAACCCTAACGAGGAAAATCAGAGTGATGGAGCAACCTTCCTTCTAGCGCTTGGTCATCATCAAAGCCTAAAGTGATAACTGGACAAAAAAAAGAGCTTCCTACACGTACACACGCTTCAAACTTTTTTCTACCCCCGGCAGCGGCGCGGGTGTTGTTCCAGAGCTGACAGGAAAAGGCTGTGCCGGAGTCGCTCCCCCAGCTCACCGCTGAGGAATGCAAGGAGCCTGCTAACGCAGCTGAAGGCTTCCAACAGGAACCCTCCTTCAGATGGACTGACTACACGGAGGAGTTCCTATAAAGGCTCTTCAGACATACCCATACAAAACCATTATGCTTTTCTATTGGAAGGGTTTACATGCAACAAGAGGAATTAAATATCATAGAATCATAGAATGGTTTGGGTTGGAAGGGACCTTAAAGATCATCTAGTTCCAACCCCCTGCCCTGGGCAGGGACACCTCCCACCAGACCAGGTTGCTCAAGGCCCCATCCAGCCTGGCCTTGAACACCTCCAGTGATGGGGCATCCACGACCTCCCTGGGCAACCTGTTCCAGTGCCTCACCACCCTCACTGTAAAGAATTTCTTCCTAGTATCTAACCTAAATCTCCCCTCCACAGCTTAAAACCATTGCCCCTTGTCCTGTCGCTACTCTTCTTTGTAAAGAGTCCCTCTCCGGCTCTTCTGTAGGCTCCTTTCAGGTACTGAAAGGCCGCTATAAGGTCTCCCCAGAGCCTTCTCTTCTCCAGGCTGAACAACCCCAGCTCTCTCAGCCTGTCCTCATAGCAGAGGTGCTCCATCCCTCTGATCATCCTCATGGCCCTCCGCTGGACCCACTCCAACAGGTCCATGTCCTTCCTGTGCTGAGGACTCCAAAGCTGGACACAGTACTCCAGGTGAGGTCTCACAAGCACAGAGCAGAGGGGCAGAATCCCCTCCCTGGCCCTGCTGGCCACGCTTCTCCTGATGCAGCCCAGGACACGGTTGGCTCTCTGGGCTGCCAGCGCGCACTGCGGGCTCGTGTTGAGCTTCTCATCCACCAGCACCCCCAAGTCCTTCTCCTCAGGGCTGCTCTCCAGCCATTCTCCGCCCAACCTGTAGTTGTGCCTGGGATTGCCACGTCCCAGGTGCAGGACCTTGCACTTGGCTTGGTTGATCCCATAGGAAAAGGAAAAATAAGTGGCGTTTTTGTAGCTACAACACCATGGTTCAAAACAGGGAAAAAAAAACCCAACCCGACCACCAAATCAGCCAACAATTTATCTTTGATAAATAAGACTGAAAATATTCAAGCAGCCTGTCACAATCTTCTTCTTCCCAGCCATTCCAGTAGAGCACACTACACAAGATCCTGTCCACCAACTCCTCTGCTACATTTACCAGAATCCACTAACTTTCCTGCTAAAACTGCATGACGGGTAACAGACACATGCCACGGAGAAAGGAAAAATGGCCCAGAATGTAACACAGAAGTGAAGACTAACAATTATCCAGGATACAGAATAAAAACAAGAGTGGGAAAGCAACAATTTAACAAAAAAAAACTCATTTAAGAAGATAAAACAGCATGTCTGAATGTGGGAGAAGATAGCAAGACACAAAGGGGTTCACAGATCCATATCTCTTCCCCCCCCTCATTTAAGAAGATAAAACAGCATGTCTGAAACTCATTTAAGAAGATAAAACAGCATGTCTGAATGTGGGAGAAGATAGCAAGACACAAAGGGGTTCACAGATCCATATCTCTTCACAGATCCATTTCCAGACTCAACATAATCCAACACGAAGCAAAAGGTCTTATTTTTAAACAATACCACTTCAAATTCCTGCTGAAATCAGAATTAGCCTTGTTTTCATACCATAAGCACAAATTAAAGTGTTGCAAGTGTTGAATTAAAGTGTTGCAATAGGAATATGAATGACAAATGTATTATAGATGTGTTTATTTGGTCTTTCCTAACCATTTTCAGAATATCAAACTAACCACAATGATGAGATAAACATCTGTTAAATAACTTGTGAGTTCTATATGCAATTAAGGCTTCATTTTTA